CACTTTGGGAGGTGGAGGTGAGAGGATTGCCTGAGCCCAGGGGTTTGAGACCAACCTGGGCAACTTGGCGAGTCTCTACAATAAATCAAAAAAATTAGCCAGGTGTGGTGGCACACGCCTGTAGTTCCAGCTACTTGGAAGGCTGAGGTGGAAGTCTCACCTGAGCCCAACAGGTGGAGGCTGCAGTGGCCGTGAGCATGCCCCAGTACTCTAGCCTGGGCAACAGAGTGACATTCCAACTAAAAATCAAATTATAAATTAAGATAAAATAATTTTATACCTGCCAGTAGTGACTTCCCATCCCTCCCTCATCCCTGTCCCCAGCAATCGCTGTTTTCGTTTCTCTCTCTAGCTTTGCCTATTCTGGACATTTCATAGAAATGGGCTAAATAATATGTGACCTTTTGTGTCTGGCTTCCTTCAGTTAGCAGAATGTTTTCTGCAGGGCGCAGAGGTTCAAGCCTGTAATCCTGGCACTTTGGGAGACTGAGGCGGAAAGATTGCTGAGGCCAGGAGGTCGAGACTAGCCTGGGCAACACAGCGAGGCCCTATCTCTATTTTATTTTATTTTTTTAATTTTTTAATTTTTTCTCTTTTTTTCCAATTGGAGTCTCACTCTGTCGCCCAGACTGGAGTGCAGTGGCCGCTCCCGGCCACCGCAGCCTCGACCCGCTGGGCTCCGGCGATCCTTCCGCCTCAGCCTTCCGAGTAGCTGGAACTACAGGCGCGCACTACCACGCCCGGCTCATTTTTTGCTTTATAGTAGAGATGAGGTCTCGCCAAGTTGCTCAGGCGGGCCTCGAACCCACGGGCTCAGGCAATCCACTCACCTCGGCCTCCCAAAGCGCGGGATTACAGGCTGAGCCACTGAGTCCGGCCTATTTTATTTTTTAAAAGTATAATTTTAAGAAATGTTTTCAAGGTTCGTGCATGTTGTAGAATATATCAAACACTTCATTCCCTTATGATATTCCATTGTGTGGATATACCGCGTTTTATGTATCCAGTCCTCAGCGGATAGGCTTCTGGGATGTTCCCACTTTTTGGCTACTACCCATACAATGAGGCAGTGGACACTCACGTACCAGTTTTTGTGTGAACATCTTTTCAGTTATTTGGGGTCTACACCTAGAGGTGGAATTGCTGGGTCGCCAGGCAACAGAACTGCCCGTCTGTTTTCCAAATCTGCGACGTCATTTTGCATCCCCATCAGAGTGCATGCGGTCTCCAAATTTTCTACGTCTTTATCAACACTTGTCATTGTCGTTTTGTTTGGTTTTATTTTAAATCGCCATCCTGAGGGATGTGAAATGGCATCACATTGTGGTTTTGTTTGTTTGTTTGTTTGTTTGAGTTGGAGTCTCACTCCGTCGCCCAGACTGGAGTGCAGTGGCCGCTCCCGGCCACCGCAGCCTCGACCTGCTGGGCTCCAGCGATCCTTCCGTCTCAGCCTTCCAAGTAGCTGGAACTACAGGAGTGCACTACCACACCTAGCTAATTTTTTATTTATTGTAGAGACAAGGTCTCGCCAAGTTGCCCAGGCGGGTCTCAAACCCACAGTCTCAGGCAATCCACTCACCTCGGCCACCCCAAGTGCTGGGATGACAGGCTGAGCCACCTTTAATTTTTTTTTTTTGAGATGGAGTCTCGCTCTGTCACCCAGACTGGAGTGCAGTGGCCGCTCCCGGCCACCACTG